TTTCCCTATTCCTACCAGTGTTTTCACTCATTGTAGTTACTTCTGGTCTAATATAAAATAATTTTCCTTAGTTGTTATCAATTATTTTTCGAAATCTCTGTGACCTTTTTTATTAGGAACGTGATAGGACAAATAACAGTTACTTAGTTACATGGCTAAGCAAATTGTTTTTCAGACTTACCATTCCTCTCTGAAATGTCACTGGTATACCAAATTTATGCAGATGTCTTAGACCAGAATCTCCTCTTGTTCCATAGATACATAGATAAACCTCAGAATCTGTACCAGCTTGCTTCATGTCACCAGTGTAGACATAAACATGGTATAAAATAACTTCAAAAAATAACCAAAAGAAGAAAACGTAAGTGTGGTCACAATTCACTTTGGTCACCACTCTAACTCAATTGAAACAATGTCAATGAATTTTACTTGTAATTAATTTGCTGGGGTATATTCTCTAGAAATGAGTCTAACAATCTCTTTTTAAGATTGCTAAGCCCACATTTATGAATATACAGCAGATTGAATATAATTCAGATGATGTTAATACTGAAAACCAGGTAACTGATATGCACATAACTGTGAAAAAGAAGTACACACATACTTGGATAGATAGGTTTTCCAGCTTCCACTACTGGAAGTTCACAGAGAAAGTCTCTGTCATCATGATTCTTTGATAACCATGTGTTTGCTGGAAAATTCAGTGTTTCCTGGCTCTTCAGATTTTGCAGTGTCACCTAAGGAACAAGCAATTCCAAATGTGACTCTGTGCAGTTTCCAGTGCTTTTCTTCTCAACAGCAAAACATTTTTCTATATCTTTTCACCTTTCTCAGAAAACAATAACACAATCAGACATACAATATTGTAGTATGAAAACATTTTTATTTTGAGCACTGCTTTGCAACTCGACTCCTCACTAGGAAGGATCCTTATTCACACCTATGGTGTTGCAGCTGAAACTGCCAGGCTCTGTTCTTTGCATATGCCTTTGGCTGTAAAATGATCTTATTCTTGAAACAAATAAATCTGTATTTGAAATTTCCTTTTTTGGCATAAGCAATGTCCCCAATTCTGATTTCTGTCTGTGAACCACCTCCATGTAACACTGGAATACTGAATACTGAATAAATTTCTGGTGAGATAGGTTAAGTGAAACTGAGCTTTTGGAAGATTTGGAAAGACTGACACATTTTTATATTAAAATGAAAACAGGATGACATTCATAATCTAGATCCTTCTGAATTTTGGCAAGGAGAGGATATGTTGAAATATTAAATAAATTTGTATCATATTTGGCTCTTTGACAGCACAACAAAATACAACCTGGATACCAGCACCCTCTAGTTATTCCTCTGAAGATAGTCAGAATTAAAATTCTCAAGTTATTTGCCACTGTACCTAATAAATGTCTTACTTTTTTTCCAACAACTAAAGTAGTCATTCCTCTCTTTTATAGGAAAAATTTTTATTAGTCTTGAACATTGTTACTGCAGTATTTTCTAGAAGCCTTCACTAGAAAAAGGAAATCTGTGCCAAAAAAATTCCTTTCTGGAGTTGTGTTTCAAACATGCATTAGTATTCACAGGCCTTGCAAACAGAATTATGAAAATAAATACTCTAATTTTAACAATTAGGAAATCAGGACAATAGATGCCTTTATCTCACTTTTCCAATAAAATACTATTTCAAGCCACATAAAGGCTTCTATTTAACACTGAAGCATTTATTTACTCTAATAGTAACTACTCTTGCAGCAGTCATTCTTAATCTCTCATGTTTATTGGCAGAGCTCCCCCTGCTGATTCACAAGAATCACAAATATTAACGGCTTTGTCAGAAAAACACAGCTTTCAACCTGATTTCTTTCTTTCTGTGAAAAGAAATACTTGAATGTCTGTGTTATTCTATGAAATAGAATAAATGAAATAGAATTTAGACTGGATATTAGGATTATTTTTTTTTTCACAGAAAGAGTGGTTAGACACTGGAATAGGCTGCCCAGGGAGGTGGTTGAGTCACCATCCCTGGATGTGCTTAAGGGTCGTTTGGATGTGGTGTTGGTGGATATGGTTTAGGGGAGAACTCTGTAGAGTAGGGATGATGGTTGGACTCAGTGATCCCAAGGGTCTTTTCCAACCTGAATAGTTCTATGATTCTATGACATTTGGACTAAAATCTTAAAAAAAACAAAAGAAAACAAAACAAACAAACAAAAAAAAAACCACAACGGGATTTTCATTCAGTTTTGGTAAAGTTAGAGTTAAGGCCTTTGAGTTAATGTCAAAATTCGTTACTCCTGTGTAATTCCAGTAGCCAGTAATCAGGTTTTAAGATGAATTAAAGGCCAAAGGATAAGTCTGTGTCTTTTACAAATCCAAAATAAGAAACAGAAGACAAATACTCATGTGACATTCTGAAATCAATCTTACATAGGGGTCAGTGTTAGCAAGAATTTAGTATGAATTTAATCTGGTGAACATCCCCAAATATCCCAAGAAAAACTGAGGTAAAACAGAAGCAGAAAAGAATAATTCATTCACCAACCTGAAAAAAACATGTTTCTTTTTCCCTGAAAATGGTCGAATCTGTGAGCTCTGTTTGGGCTCACTAGGACTAACCTTCTCTTAAGGAAACTTGGTTCATTCTTCATGTGTACTTGTCATATGATAATTGTTGCTCCATTATTTCCAATTTTTCATAGCTGGAATTTATAGCTAGAATTTCCCTAACACTCACCAAAGAGTACAGGTGAGCTGTCAGAAAGCAAAACTTGCTAGAGCCCATCAATACACTAAAATTTATATCTATCTATAAGCTACATGAGTTAGGAATAACTGCAAAATAATGCTGCATATATCCAGCTCTCAGAGGATGGACTCTATCACTGCTTTTGCCATCTCTAAAGCAACCTAAGAAGACAAAGCAATAAGGACCCGTCACAATCAGCAATTTTTTATTTATGAAGCTGTGGCCTTATGAAAAGATGGATTTTCAGTTTGCATAAAAATTAGACAAGAATCAAAAAAATCACCATAAAAAATCTCACCCTTTGTAAGTTCCACTCAGATTCTTCATTCAGTAATTCAACCAGTTCAATTCTTATCTTGTAGATATTCCCAATGCTTTTTATTTTAACCTGAATAAAGCCAGAACAATACAACATGTAACTACAGGCAAAAATATATGTAACTTGTACTTTAAACCTATATGGTAGAGGCTGCATGGTGATTAAGTAAGTCCATGCCTTGCAAACTAACAGTATATCCAATTCACGACTGAAAGGCGTTTCAGCTTCAGTTACCCACACATAAGTAAGAAGCAGATTCCCAATGGCAAACAAGGACCTATGAATTCTATGTTTAAAATCATAAATTCTTCAGGACATCTTGAAAAAAACAGAAATCTTAAATGTTTTCTCTCCTGTCTTTTCATTCATCCCATGTGAAATAACTAAAAAATCCCGTCCTCCTTTATGCACAAACCCTATTTTCCCTGTATTTCTACATTTTGCCATCAATTCAATTTGGGCTGTATTTCTTGGAAAAAACCCATAACTACACCACATGTGGGAAAAAAACAAAACGTCAAACCGCATCTTTATCTTTGCAATTAGTTCCAGATCTGTCTGAACAAGTGGCTGGAAAGCAGCCTGGTGGAAAAAGATCTGGGAGTGCTGGAGGACAGCTGGCTGAACATGAGCGAGCCAGCAGTGTGTCCAGGTGGCCAAGAAGGCCAATGGCATCCTGTCTGTATCAAAAACAGTGTGTCCAGCAGGAGCAGAGAAGTGATGGTGCCCCTGTACTTGGCCGTGTGAGGCCACATCTTGAATACTGTGTTTGGTTCTGGGCACAATAGTATAAGAAAGATATTGAGGTCCTGGAGTGTGTCCAAAGAAGAGCAGCAAGGCTGGTGAGGGATTTGCAGGGCATGTCATACAAGGAGCAGCTGAGGGAACTGGGGTTGTTTTGTCTGAGGAAGAGAAGGCTCAGGGGAGATCTTATTGCTCTCTGCAACTGCCTGAAGGGAGGTTGTAGAGAGGCCAGTGTTGAGCTCTTCTCCCAAGCAGCTAGTGATAGGATGAGTAAATGGGTTTAAGATGTGCCAGGGGAGGTTTAGGTTGGATATTAGAAAAAATTTCTTTACTGAAAGAGTGGTGAGGCATTGGAATGGGCTGTTCAAGGAGATGGTGGAGTCACAACCCCTGGAGGTGTTCAAGGGATGTTTAGATGTGGTGCTTCAGGACATAGTTTAGTGGTTGTGGTAATTGGATTATGGTTGGACTCCATGATCTTGGAGGTCTTTTCCAACCTCAAGGATTCTTGATTCTATGATTATCTGAGTAGACAGGAACACTGCACAACATTTAATTGGCAGATTTTAGATTATAATATCCAGAAGAGAAACTGCTTCTGTTTTGTCTAAGCAGATTTCTGTTTGAATCCCAGTTTGACCAGATTATAGCCTAGTGAAATCACATTGCTTGTCAGGGAAATGATTATCAGGGTCATGTGGTCTGTTTATTCTAATGAATCCTTCTTTAGGCTTTCAGCTAAAAAACATTTCCCTGATCATTCCATGTATCAATACAAAACCTAAATGTAGTGAACTTTGCCAGAATGCAGAGTGACTTCAGTCTAAAAGAAGCAGAGGTCTTATAGAAGAAATCATCTGACACCCTTCTTGATTTTACTCGTGCACAGCCCTGGAAAGGAGTAAGCAGACAGTGACCACTCACATGGCTAAGGTAAGAGATGGAAGGCCACATAAGAATGGCTTTTATTTCTCAAAATAGTTCTGCTTGAATTTTTCATAGTTGTACGTGCTGCTGATAAAGTGAAAGGTTAAAGAAAACTAACTCCAAATTGCCTGAATAGGACAGGCTTTCAGAAGCTGTTTCCTCCCAAGAGCTCCTGGCTAGAGTTATGATTAAGCTGACTACTTTAAAAACTCCTTTGTCTCCAATCTCAGCATGTCCCACACTGAACTCCTCAGTTCTCAGGTACACATCGCAGGGGGGAAAACAAAACGGTTGGGTGGGTTGCTGAGACATCTCTTTAGTCCATCAACAAATGTTGTTTAACTCTTAGATGCCTCAAGACAGACAACAAATATCCTGAGTGCCTGAGTACATCACTTATCTCTTGGATTGTTAGAGACTAGCACTATACATCCTGAATGTCACAGTGGCCTTTCACGTTACTGTCACAGTGTCGGTGGACAAGGGGAGAGTAAATAATATAATCTACCTGGATTTGCATTTGACACTGCCCCACATGACAACTTGGTCTCTAAATGGGATTAACATGGACTTGATGGATGGACTACTCATTGAATAAAGAATTAGCTGGATGGTCACACTCAAAGAGTTGTCGTCAACAGCTCAATGTCCAAATGGAGACCAGTGATATGCTGGAGGGAAGGGATGCCATCCAGGGGAACCTCAACAGGCTAGAGAGCTGAGCCCATGAAAACCTCATAATGCTCAATTAAGTTAAGTGCAAGGTCCTGTACCTGGGTCAGGGCAAGCCCAAGCACAAATACAGGTTGGGTGGAGAATGGATTGAGAACAGCCATGATGAAAAGACTTGGGGATGTTGGTTAATGAGAAACTCAACATGAGCCAGCAATGTGTGCTTGCAGCCCAGAAAGCCAACTGTATCCTGGGCTGCATCAAAAGAAATGTGACCAGCATGCCAAGGGAGGTGATTCTCCCCCTTTATTCCACTCTTGTGTGACCCTACCTGGAGTATTATGTCCAGTTCTGGAGCCCCCAATACAAGAAAGACATGAAGCTATTGGAGCAAGTCCAGATAAGGGCCATGAAGATGAGCAGAGGGCTGGAGCACCTCTCCTGTGAAGACAGGCTGAGAGAGTTGCAACTGTTCAGCCTGAAGACAAGGAGGGACTCAGCTGAGGAGGGACTTTTTACAAGGGCATGCAGCAATAGGACAAGGAGTAATGGCTTTAAACTGGAAGAGCCTAGATTTAGGTTAGACATTAGGAAGAAATCTTTTAGTGTGAGGGTGGTGAGACACTGGAAGAGGTTTCCCAGGGAAGTGGTGGATGCCCTCTCCCTAGAGGTGTTCAAGGCCAGGTTGGATGGGGCTTTGAGCAACCTGGTCTAGTGGAAGTTGGCATGGCAAGGAGGTTGGAACTAGATGACTTTTAAGGTCCCTTTCAACCCTAGCCATTCTATGATTCTATGATTCTATGATTCTTGTCTTCATTTCAAGACTTACCCTGCTAAACAAGTACAGGGTAAATTTTAAAGGGAAAGAATAAAAGAAGGAAGAGCTCTTATTCATAGGCTTTTTCTTTGTGGATTTACCTACTGCAGACTAAAGAATGACAAGCACTTTGGTGACATTTGTTGTTTCACGCCTGAAAGTAAGAGTGTCAGAATGATGTAAAGAACCACTGTAGTAGCCCCAGGTGCTGAGGGAAAGATTCTGCTCTTTCACAAGATCAATATCCACAGCACACAGCAATAATGGACAATATCTGTTTTAGAGAAGAAAAATTGGTCCAACTCCTAAAAATGTATGGATTAGCATTGCAAACGTGCCTTTACCCAATGTTGTGTATAAATTATTCACTAATTAGGAGAAGAGGATTCCCTGTAGATCATGATATATAGCCTACATTCTTAGAAAATGAACATTACAGTTGGTTATCTTCCTGCCTATGCCCTATTCACAGAGAATATTAGTATTAATATTATTGACAGAAATAATCTTGGTTTGTGCCAAGATTGTGTTCAGAGAGATGATGAGTGGAAAGGAAAAAGAAATGCACAAAATGTGAAAAACATAACTTCAGTTAGCTGAAGACAGCAATGTGGTACATGCATCACAGACAGAAAGATTTAAGCAAAAAAAGATTTAGGAAGTTGTAGCCCCTTTGCTAATTTCCTCTCAGCCTACCTATGCATAATTTCCATATTATAACAGTGGTGGAGATACTCTTGCATAATAGCAGAGCACTTTATGTTTTCATGAAATTCTATCATGTAGGCTTTATTGGGCTCTTTGCAACTCCATAGGTAAAGCTTTTGGCATTTCAGATATTCGTAACAGGGCAGCTGGAAAAAAAAAGAATTTTCTTCCTTAACTGAACCAGTCCCTCCGTATCCATTTTATAGCATGCTTTGAAAAGTCTAAGACATGAAGATTACATTACTAAAGATCCCTAAATGATACACAAGTCTTACATTAGGCATGGTTTGTTTAGGAGTGGATAGTTTCTAAAGCTAGTTTCAAACCAATTACCTTAAAGAAATTAATTTATTCCTGCACTTGTCCCATTTGGGCTACTATATGAGGGAGAGGGGGTTAAAAGAAAGAGCATTTCCTCTGATGCTAACTATATGCACTAAGCTGATTCAGTGCAGAATTCATAGAGACTAGATAGAGATTTATTGCATGCAGTAAACATAGGAGAAAAACATTTTTTCTTTTCACATGACAGAATAATCTTTGGAAGGGAAACATTAAAATAATGGGTTTAGCCTTCATTAGCTACCTGAAATTCATTCTCCTGCCTGGGAAGAGATGGCTGCTTTCTGTTGTCCTTGCCAAGAGTTATTGGTCCAGCTACTCCTCCGTCTCCATATATCCAGAGAATGGCATTTGCTTCACTTCCTCCATTTCCTGTCACCATTGACACTTTCCATTCATCATCTGAAGGAAGGGGACACTCACCACCTTGGGGATTTCTCATTTCCTCTGTGAAATACAGAACATTAGTGGAAGATGAAAATTGACATGAAACTGCCAGTTGCTGTTGTAACTTGAGCATGTAAGGAGACCATAACAGAGAGGGGATTGTATTTTTTCATGGCAAGTGAGATAGAATGAAATGATTGATTTATGTTTCTTGTCTAGACCAAAATGTGCTGATTAGTTGAGCTACAAAACTCAAATGGAAATGCACTCTCATACACACTGTCATCATATTATTTTTCATACATATTCTGGGGTAGGGTAAGGATGCTATGATGAAGAACCGTGGCCATTAAATCGACATTTCTGGTCATCTGGACATTTCTCCTCACTGGAAGTGCAGAGGGAGAAACAGAGATGGACTCGGGCTGTGCAAGCAGCTCAGCAACAGTTACAACACTGGGGTGTTATCTACAGGGCCTTGGTCACCAGGCTAAGACACAGCACCAGACTGCTATGAAGGAAATCAAGTCCACCCCAGCCAAGGCCAGTACAAGCACTGAACAAAACAAGGCAATACCTATGACACGCACCCATCTGACTGTGGTTTGTTGCTAGCAATTAAAAGGATGTGTTTCTGAGGGAACTGCCCTAGGTTCTGTGGTGGTCCTGCTCTGGCTGGGGGGTTGGACTCATTGATCTTCAGAGGTCCTGTCCAACCCCTAACATTCTGTGATTCTGTAAGTTTGAAGGTAGTTTGTAACAGTTTTCAATGCTTGAGACTTGCTTCTTAGTAAATTTTTAAAAACAACAAA